CATTGAAATTATGATTTGAAAATTGAAAAAAGAAAGGAAAACAAACCTTTCAATAATGTCCCTAAGAAAATTGGGGTTCAGGCCTCCTTTTGAAGGGTATATAGGGTATGGCCTTCCTCTTGTGCGAAGAGATGATTCTTTTTCATCATTTAGCACGTCAATACTATATTCCCTCATTTCATAGTGATCTTTGGTACATTGTTCTTACCTACATTAAAAAGAAGCATTGAGGAACAAGATCCGAATGGGATATGCACAATCGTACAATTGAAGACAGAGAAATCATATAGGAGAAAATTGCAGCAGGTCTAATATATTTGTAGATTATAATCCCGTTGTAAGTTGTAACTGTAAGCAATTCCACTATCATAAGCAACTAATGAATAGCTCCCAGAAACAAATTATGTGCAATGGTGACTGACCTTTTACGACATTCCAGAAATGCATCTTGCAACAAAAAGAAAAAAAAAATCATACGAAATCCTTGGGTCCTTAATTTTGTGCTTGTGAAGAAAGGCCTCTGGATATCTATGCATCACTAAAACATAAATTATAAATAATGAGGCATCCATGGCAAATTAAAAGTGCTATACTACATCAAATCTGGGACAAAGAGGAAAGGCCTCCCATTCATACTCCTTTAAAGTAAACGAAAACTTCAAATAATAGCTCAATTGAACAACAAAGAGCTCAACTAAGCATCAAGTTGTCACCAACAATTAGCTATCATGCACCAAGAACAACAACTACATACTTTGGCAACAACTTGTCAGCAACTTTGTTAGAAACCCAATTCTTTAACAGCCGCAAAGAATAGATTTTAATTTAGTTTCAAGAAATTTTAGGGCTGAAGAGGCAGATTAGAGAAATTATACTACCCAACCAATTATCAGGAAAACAGAAAAAATAATAAACTTAGTGCCAGGTACAGTGAAAGCTGACATTCTCCATTGTACTAGATTTCTTTTTAACTAAATTCTAGCAGCTCTATTACTAACAGAGAGCAGAATAACAGAAGTGATACACGCAGCCTCTTACAGTATCATTCTAGGTCCCGAACTTCAACAAACTTCTTATAAGCTCCTTTTTTAGTTTTAATTTTCTAGTAGGAAAACAGGCTTTTACTCCAATTGGGTAACAAGCTCCAATCCTTTTAGCTTTGATAACAACGGACTATGCAACAAGCTCTAATTCTTTTCTTCTAATTTATCC